TTCTTGGTGGACAAGGTAGACCAGGTCCAGCTGTTCTCTGGTGGCCACCACAAGCTCTTCCATGGAGATCTGGGTGGTGGGTGGTGGAGAAAGCCCACCGTGGACCTCCTTGACCCCGTGGTCTTCTCCACCCCTTCCAGATGGGGCCGTTGGCGGGAGATCTTGTCCCACGGGAGGTTCAAGCGTCGTCTCTCGGAGCGGGACGTGGAGACCATCTGTAGGACCATCTTGGTCTATTGTCTTCTCCATTACCGGGGAGATGAGAACATCAAGAGCTTCATCTGGGACCTCATCAGCCCCACAGAGAACGGCAAGACCAAGGAGCTCCAAAACCACTCGGGTGAGATGGGTTTCTCCACCAACTTGGGGACAAGCCAAGTGGACCTTCTTGAAGGTCCCAAACCTTTGAAGGTCCTTCTTGAGGGTCCTAAACCTTTGAAGGTTCTTCTTCTTATGGATCTTCTTGAAGGTCCTAAACCTTTGAAGGTCCTACTTGTCATGGACCTTCCTGAAGGTCCTAAACCTTTGAAAGTCCTTCTTGAAAGTCCTAAACTTTTGAAGGTCCTTCTTCTTTCCATCTCTTGGATCTTCAAGATTTCTCTTGAAGGTCCAAGACCTTGAACCGTGGAAGGGGGTTGGTTTTTTTGAGGTTCTTCTCCTTCTTCTCTCGGATCTCCAGGACTTTCCATCCCGGTTCCTCGTGGTCGGAAGGGGAAGAAGATCAAGTCCCAAAGCTCTTTTGATGTCCACAAGGTTGATTGGATCCGAAAATACAACCCCGACACCCTCTTCCAAGATGAGAGCTACAAGAAACACCTCAAACATCAATGCAACAAGTGGGTTGAGGTCTCCTTGGTGGCCACCACCGAGGGCCACCGCAAGGTCTTCTCCAACCCCTTCCTTTCCTTCTTATTTTTTGGTTGCCCACCACCTTCCGTCATCTCCCAGGGTTCTCTTGAGGGTGCGGATGCTCTACTACCTGCGGCAGGAGGTCATCGGGGACCAGGCGGAGAAGGTCCTGGCGGGGGCAATGGCCAGGTGAGTCCTCAGGACCTTCTTTGAGGTCTTCCGGGGTCTCCTCGGGGAGGTCTGAGGGTCTCCAGAAGCTCCTTGAGGTGGTTTGAGGTTCTCCAGCACCTCCTTGAGG